TTCAGGATTGTTGATTCTCTGTTTGGCTTAGTTTTTCGGATCTTTGTTGTGGAGGGACGGCGTGGTGCTTCTGCCTAGACCGCCATCTTGCCCTCGGCCACTATCACCAGTCTTTTTCTTCTTTTTTAATGGGAAAAGATTTCCCCTTTTCACCCGCATTCTTAGTTGCCCCAAGATGTTAATATTTAAGTGCTTACTCTTTATGTTTAAGCAGTAGTATTCCATTCAATCCTCATAATAAGAAATTGTTGTATTGAAAAGGAAAACGTATCTAAATTAGTCAGAAATAGAATGACTAAAGTCATTTCAGGGACTGTGTCACTAAGGCCTTGAGTCTTGATAAAGTTGGGTGTAGGTGGATACCCTGTGATTATTTTCTCCTTCTGACAAAATTGAAGTAAGCTAAAAACTCAGCTGAGCCAGACCTTTATATGCCCCACTCTTGGTCGTCTTTATAACTTGCCTTCATTTCATAAATGACATTATAATGAATAAAACTGGATATATTCTTACTACCAAAATAAAACCCAAACCTACTAATGTTAAGTTGATTCCAACTCATAGTGACCCTGTAGAAAAGAGTAGAACTGCCCCATGGGTCTTCCAAGGCTTAATCTTTACGGAAGCAGACTGCCACATCTGTTTCCCACAGAGCGGCTGGTGGATTCGAACGCCAGCCTTTCGCTTAGCAGCTGAGTGTTTTAACCACTGCGCCACCAGGGCTCCTAGTATTTCTCCCAGTGACTTTGGTCTAAATCAGAGTTCAACAAACTACGGCTTGCAAGTCAAATCCTGTCTGCTGCCTATTTTTGTAAATGGAGTTTTATTGGAATAGAGTCATGCTCATTTGTGTTGTCTATGGCTGCTTTTGTGCTACACTGTATGGCCCACAAAGCCTAAGATGTTTACTCTCTGGCCCTTTGCAGGGAAAATTTGCCATTCTCTGTGGTCTAAGACAATGGAGACTATAGGCATGCAGTTATATATCCAGAATCCCTGGTGGCTCAGTGGTTAAGCTCTCAGCTGCTAACTGAAAGGTTGGTGGTTCACACCCACCAGGAGCAGAAGGAAGATGTGACAGTGTTTCCATTACAGCCTTGGAAACCCTATGGGGCGGTTCTACTCTGTCCTATAGGGATACTATGAGTTGCAGTTGATTGAACACCATTGGGTTTGGTTTTTGGTTAATTATATATCCACGTTTTTTCACCTGTCTTTATTTATCTGTATTTATCATTACAAGAAACTTTGAATTGTGGATGTGTGTAAATAGGCTTGAGGTTGGAACAATTACAGCAATAAGTCTACTGTTTACATTTTATTTCTTGCCTCATAAGATTACCTATGAGTTGGGTGGCCATATATTTCAGTTTGCCTGGGACAATCCTGGATTACATCTGTTGTTCCTGACTGTTATTATATTATGCTAACTTCACATCCTATTACTGTAATTATTAATAGCTGCTCCCTTTTACTAGGAATTTCTGGGTGGCACAAACGATTAAGCACTGTACTACTAGCCTGAAAGGTTGGTGGTTTGAACCCACCCAGAGGTGCCTCAGAAGACGGGCCTGGCTTCTGCTTTTGAGGGGTCACAGCCTTGAAAACCCTATGGAGTAGTTCTACTACACACACGTGGGGTGGCCACGAGTCGGAATTGACTTGAGAGCAACTAGGAACAACATCAACAGCACGCTGCCTTCTACCCTTCATACTGCTTCAGTGTAGTGATAAATTTTATGGTCACTTTATGTGTGAATGTTACTGAGAGGGGTAGTGGGACTAGAAATAGGAGTAGAATAAAAAGTCAGTGACAGCCACACAAGGTAGAATTTAAACGATTGATTTTTGAAGGTCTGTGTCAAGCATCCTCAAGACCACCTTGATGATTCACTAGAAGGAGTCACAGGATTCAAAAGTTGTTATACTCACGATTACAGTTTATTACAGAAAGAATACAGAGTGAAGTCAGCAAACGGAAAAGGAGCAAAGTCTAGATAAAACCAGGTGCAGGTTTTCATGTTCCCTCCTAGTGGAGTCACACGGGATGCACTTAATTCCCTCAGCAAGGATATGTGACAACATGTGTGAAGTATTCTCGACCAGGGAAACCCACCCTACCCTGAACATCTTCGATTTTTATTGGAGGTCAGTCACATAGGTATGTAGTGCCTGTGTAACTGACTTCAGTTACTCAAGCTTCAGACCTCCAGAGGAAAAGCATTTGTTCACCATAAATCTAATTGTTCTTAGTTATTTTCAACAAGGTTTATTTTGTTTTGCGTATTTATATATTGAAAAGCAGTTTCCATGAAGAATAGTCTATAATTACTCCTTTTGCTCTTTATATCATTTTTAATTGTAAAAAATGGAAATGTGATAATAAGAGTTAGAAAAGTTTTAGTTCATAATTATGAATCATCTGCCTTGTAGATAATAGATTTAAATAAACTTACACAGTTCTCAAAAGCTTTTAACCTTTTTTCTTTACCTTTTCCCTAGGTATTCGTGGAAACATTAGACAAGTGTTTTGAAAATGTCTGTGAATTGGATTTAATTTTCCATGTAGACAAGGTACTATTTCTATATTGTCAAATCTTCTAAGCTTTGTGTTTAAGAAAAACATTAAATTCTATTTGTCAATTTATGTTAATAACACTATTCTTATTCCTTTAGTTATTATTCAGTCTGTAAATTATTTTTACTATGAGCCAGGCACTTGGTAGAGAAGATTCAGGCCCTGACCTAGAGGAGTTCATATTTAAGGGAGGAAATATGGCATTAACAAGGAACGGCATGTTCATTGGTGTTAATGGGAACACAGCTGAAACACCTACCTCTGTTGTCAGTTGCTATCGAGTTGATTTCGACTCATGGAAGAAATTGGATTTAAATTGATTTTAAAGGGTAGTAGTTATTTCCCAGACAGAAAAGGAAAAGATGGCTCTATAGGCAGAGATATGAAATACAGGCTTTTTTTTTTTTTTTTTTTTTGAGGAAGGATTGATATTGATCAAGAGGCTTAATTTTAAAGAGCCTTTAGGGCCATTGATTTTGGACTTAGAGACGATTTACTGTTTTTAAGCAAGTTTGCCGTTATTGTTGCTTTGTGTATTTTTTTTAGCAAGGTAATTTTTTTCTGCATTATGGAGATTGACTTGGTAGGTGGGAAGATTAAAGACAGAGAAATCAGTTAGGAGTCTGTTGGCAGTAGTTCAGAAGTGAACTAAAGCAGTGACAGTGGGGGTGAAAGAAAGAACTGACAGGACTTGCTGGCTTATTGAAAGCTAGAGGTGAGAGAAAGGAAGAGTGACTGAGGTTGCTAGGCAGTGTTACTGAGTATTAGTGATATGAATTTAGGAGGAAGAGATTCCACTTTTATTGTATGCAGTTTTTTTTCTGGATTAAGTTTTCTGTAATCAAATAGATCTTGTTTTGAATGATTAAGCCAATGAATAAAATAGTCTGAAAAATAATCTGCTGAAAATTTTATCAAAAAATGTGATTTTTAAAAACCAGCTTTATTGAGGTGTGATTTATGTACATTAAAATCAACAGATTTAAGTGTACAGCTAAGTTCTGACAAATGTATAAAATCCTATAACCACTACCATAATCAAGATATATAGAGTAAAATATATTTTAATACTTGTGAACATCAAAAGAACATGTTTCTCCTAGCCAATTCTCTAGATCATATTTTTTATTTACTAAGTGATTTGATTTCATATAGTAACTCACTTGGACAGAGAACTTAAGCTTGGTATTTTTAAGTCTATTTTTTAGTATTCTATTGATTTTCTGTAATTAATATAACTTAGGCTTTTTCACACCTTTGAAGACTCCTATTATTTGTAGGCATTAGGGTTCACGATACTCAAAATGATGTTTTGGCATATGATTAAAATTGTAACAGCTCTTTTTTTTTTTTTAATGACTGCCCAAAGGTCATTAACTTATATAACACCTCAAACAATTTTTTTTTAAAGAAAATTGAGGTTTCTATTGTAAAATGTTGTGATAAGAGTAAAGTTCTTCCACTTGCTACTAGAGAATGAAAGATTTCCTTAATAAAAAATTAAGTTCTATTCATCTACAACTTCCACATATGATTTACAATGTTTTTAAAACTTCTATTTTATAAATAATAAACATTCGTTTTAGAAAAACCGGAAAATACAAATGAGGGAAATAAATAGAAACCATCCTAATGTTTGGTCCCAGAAATTTCCTAGTGTTAACATTTAGAATATAAATATTTCTGGATTTTTTTTTGTACAAATATGTACAAAAACAAATAGATTTTTTAAAAAAACAAACAAAATGGAATCATACGATGTGTATCATGGTTTATGGCCTGTTCATTTCACATAAAAATGATGTATCATTATTTTAGAACCAGCCAAGTTAGCTGTATCTGTTCTCTCTGGGCTAAGCCCTTGTTTTAATTTTTTTTTTTTGTATGTAATGAGATAGAAGTTTTAGGATACCAAGAGTCAGAGCTAGTCATAGAGATATTTATATCCGTTTCCACATTCTCTGTCCAAAACAAGGTTAGCCTTGCTTGCAGCCCCTTGATGACAGTGGGATTATTTTGAACTTTCAGACAGCCTTGGCCTTCTAACAGTCAGGAATCCCCTAATTGGCTCAGCTAAGTTTGTTTTAGGGGCAGACACAGAGCGTTTCGCCTGCAACTCTCACCCAAGGGAATGCCCCTTCTATTATCAGTTAGGTTGGGTTTATTTGTGTTATAATAACAAACATAAAAATCTTAGCTACTTAAAACAAGGAAAATTTATTTCTCATGCATGCTTTATGTTCGTCATGTTCTACATGCTATCACTCTGGGACCCATACCAACAAAGCTACCAACGTCTGCAGCATTGTCAGTTTCCACGTTAGAGAGAAAAGGCATTTTCATTGAGTGAATTTATCTGCTTTTCAAGATATTACAGGTGATAGTTTTAGCAAATGTTTTGTCACTACAAACGTGGATCATTAACCTCCTAGTCGCCAGTATAACAGTTCCCATGTGGCCTACTGCCCAACCCATAAGCCAATGTCAAGTATTCTTTTGTTGGGTTGTTAACCAGTTTCTCATTACAGATTTTTAAGTACTAATATCTGTATTAATCACATAGGATAATGTCGTGGGGCAGAAAAGGAAGAAGGAGTGGTGAGGCTTGAATATTGTCAGCAGTCAAACATAAAAAATGGAGTCAAGGCTCTTTATTATGTTATAGTTATGTTGTGATGATAGGTCATAAAATCCATAAAATACAAATAACGCAATTTATTTCTTACTCATACTGTATGGCTATTGTGGGTTTGTTGGGAGGGTCTATGGACTGTGTTGTCCTCACTCAAGGAACCAGACAGAGGGAGGCACCATTTTTGTGCTTTCATGATTGATAAGACAGTAAAAAGGCAAATTGCACCCTAGCTCTTCACAGGAATTTTGGCAACTAATTTTCTTGTTAAAATTCATATGATTTATCTTTCGGAAGGGGGCACACAGATCTTCGTACTATATACTTGAGAATGTTGCTGTTGTTAGGTGTGGTCGAGTCAGTTCCGACTCATAGCTACTCTGTGTACAACTGAATGAAACACTGCAGAGTCCTGTGCCATCCTCACAGTCATTGTTATGCTTGAGCGCATTGTTGGCAGCCACTGTGTCAATCCAGCTCATTGAGAGTTTTCCTCTTTTTCGCTGACCCTCTACTTTACCAAGCATGATGTCCTTCTCCAGGGACTGGTCCCTCTTGATAACATGTCCAAAGTATGTGAAACGAAGTCTTGCCATCCTTGCTTCTAAGGAGCATTCTGGTCATACTTCTTCCAAGACAGATATGTTTGTTCGTTTGGCAGTCCATGGTGTATTCAATATTCTTCGCCAACACCATAATTCAAAGGTGTCACTTCTTCTTCAGTCTTCCTTGTTCATTGTCCAGCGTTAGCATGCATATGAGGCGATTGAAAACACTATGACTGGGGTCAGGTACACCCTCGTCTTCAAGGTGACATCTTTGCTTTTGAATACTTTAAAGAGGTCTTTTGCAGCAGATTTGCTCAGTGCAGGGTGTTGTTTGATATCTCGACTGCTGCTGCCACGGATGTTGATCGTGGATCCAAGTAAAATGAAACCCTTGAGAATAGTAGGCAGCAGTTGCATTTGTCAATCTCATTTGTTTCTCATAGGAAAGGAAAAATTGTTAATTACATGGTAGGTGTCAAGAGGATCTCAGGCTATCAAAGGGAATTTAACAAAAGATCGCCAATTCCAAATGAGTATATCTTTCTATTTCAGTAAACAAATCCATAAATGTGGCCATTCTTTCCCTTAAGATTATTTTAACCAGTTTTCTGTGATTATTACCAAAGAGTGCATTTTTTCTCTCAAAAGAATATTTTGAATCTTATTTTATCGTTTTTACACACTATACCTACCTAACTGTATGGCTGTTTCTAATAGGTTTTCTACTCTTGTTTTATATGAAAGAGAAAATCAAGACAGCATTTCTGAGCTATAGAAAGGGAAGCAATATAAATCCACTAAAATATAGAATATATCACTAGGTTGTTAGCTCCATAAAAGCATATCTTTGTCACCTCTGTATTTCTAATACCTTACATCTAATATAGGTTTTGATACATTTTAATTGAATTATCATATTTTATTCTTTTTAAATTTTTTTTGTATTGTCCTTTAAGTGAAAGTTTACAATTCAAGTTAGTTTCTCATATAAAAATGTATATACACATTGTTATGTAACCCTAGTTGCTCTCCCTATACTGTGACAGCACACTCCTCCTTTACACCCCGAGGTTCCTGTGTTCATTCAACCAGCTCCTATCCCTTTCTGCCTTCTCATCTTGCCTCCAGACAGGAGCTGCCCATTTAGTCTCACGTATCTACTTGAACTAAGAAGCACACTCTTCACGAGTATCATTTTATGGCTTATAGTCCAGTCTAATCCAAGTCTGAAGAGTTGGCCTCGGGAATGGTTTTAGTTTTGGTCTAACGGAGAGTCTGGAGGCCATGTGTTCTGGGGTCCCTCAAGTCTCAGTCAGACCATTAAGTCTGGTCTTTTTACTAGAATTTGAGTTCTGCACTCCACTTTTCTCCTGCTTCGTCAGGGACTCTCTGTTGTGTTCCCTGTCAGGGCAATCATTGGTGGTAGCTGGGCACCGTCTAGTTCTTCTGGTCTCAGGCTGATGGAGTCTCTGGTTTATGTGGCCCTTTCTGTCTCTTGGGCTACTATTTTCCTTGTGTCTGGTATTCTTCATTCTCCTTTGCTCCAGGTGGGTTGGGACCAATTGATGCATCTTAGATGGCCGCTCGCTAACTTTTAAGACCCCAGATGCCACTCACCAAAGTAGGATGCAGAACATTTTCTTAATAAACTTTGTTATGCCAGTTGACCTGTATGTCCCCTGAAAGCATGGTCCTCAGACCCCTGCCCCTGCTACTCTGTCCCTCAAAGTGTTTGGTTGTATTCAGGAAACTTCTTAGCTTTTGGTTTCGTCCAGTTGTGCTGACTTCCTCTGTAGTGTGTGTTCTTCCTTTTACC